ATAAACCTTCTTTTGTCTTAATTAATTAGATGGAAGACCTCATAGCACATTTCTTATAGTAATAAAACATTTAAAAACACTACATTTTGAGCATATGAATGTGATATGGTTTAAAATGCTAATTCTAAAACTTATGAAGAACCTAATGCAAATAAAGAGAGCATGCTATGGAATTTTTGACTAGCATCACCATTGCTTATGATATTACTGAGAATTAATGTCATTTTCTTTTAGGTCAAATTATAGACTTCTACTCTTTGATGTGGATTTTAAGCATATATCTTCATGTTTAGAAACATTACAATGATCTTATACTTATTTTAAGGTCAAAGAATAATAGTCATAGAATAGTAGATTCTATACTCACTAAAATTGAGGAATTTAAGTCATTTTTTTGTTTAAAGTGGGATGCAATAAAAGAGCTATATGCTCAAAGTGTTTTTGTTGCTTTGGCCAAAGACTTTGGAAAAACATGTACTAAAGAGATTCTTTTATTGAATTTATTTTTTGAAGGTACTTTTTATAAGGATGTTAGAGACACATGAGTTGTTTCTTTTATAGATTAGTGGTTAAAGGTCGTATTGATATATAGTAGTATTTCATTGATAAAAAATAAAATAAATAAATAAAAAAAAAAACCACAAAGTTTGGTGATTCACTATTGGAATTAGAACCATATCTTTTTAGTGCCAAAGTACAAAATTTATATACTTTTATTTGCTCCTATCTCAACTAAATTGTCTTTATCCTTAAGAAGCTTAAAGGCTATAGGAACAAACCTATTTACATCCAATTCAAAAATAATCATCCAATTTCTTAACAACTTTATAAAATTAGTACCTTAAAAAAAGATTGCATCTAAACTTATTGTTAAGAATTATTAGCTGCAAATTTGATTGAACTTTCTAATATTGAATATACTTGTATTACAATAATTTCTTTTTAAAACGATGTTTTTAATAATTAGACAAAAAAAATAGATATGTGGAGATTATTGTTCAACTAATTGTAAGACAACATCTTATCAATATTTAATACAAATGCTAAAAGAATTATTTGATGCAATAGGATTTTCTTAAGTATTTTGTACTTTGGATTTAAGATTTGATTATCATCAATTGAATTTGTATATTAAAGATCAAATGAAGAAAATATCTTAAAGAATTAATTACAATATCAAAGATTAATTCTATCATTGAAAGTTTATTTTATTTGGCAATAAGAATGCACTTCTTAAGTTTTAGAAGATAATAAATTAGATTTTGGCTCTCTTAACATTTGTTAGATGCTACATGGAGGATGTTATTATTTTTAATAGCAATCTATAAGTTTATGTGAGGAATTTACAAGTAATATTTGAAAAAATATAGAAATGAAGATTGTGCTTATATCATGATAAGTATGAATTCTTTTGCAAATAATTACTATACTTGAGCGATATGATTATTCCAAAGGCCATAGCGCATAGCAAGCATAAGTAGATACCTTACTAAAAATCTCAGTACAAAGCAATATTTCACAACTTTGGATTTTTCTTAGTTTGACAAATTATCATCAAAGATTTATCAAGATTTTTAACTTGATTGCTAAGTCTTTGACTATTTTTACAAGTATGAATCACCCATAGACTTAGAATAGTAAGTAATAACATGCCTTTGATAAATTGAAGCAAAAATAAATTTTAGTTTAGTGATTCAATATCTAATTGCTATTAGATCTTTACAACTATACAAAGACTGGAGTACAATAGGATTGGGAGCAGTATTGATACAAAAGATGATATAAGATAAGAATATGTTATTATATTTACTTTTAGAAGTAATAATAATGTAGAGTCCAAATATACATCTTATAAGATAGAAACTTTGGCAGTAATTTGGATCATTGCTCACTTTTAATCTTATTTGAATGAGCAACAATTTACATTGGTGGCTAACCATCAACCTTTGAAGTGGCTTATAAAGTGAGACAAGCCTATAGACAAGCTTACTAGATAGCTTTTGTTGCTTTAAGAATATAATTCTAAGGTTTTGCAATAGATAGGCATTATTAATACATACATTTTTTTTCATAATTCAAGTCTTTTAAAAGAAGTCTTAATTGAAGCTTAATAGCATAGAGATTATAATAGAGAAGCACTTCTTAGATCTTATACAACCACATATTTGACCAAATAATAAGATTTTGTTAAAAAAAACAAAATTTGTTAATTTGCATGTGATTTGATAGAGCTTGATGTATGGTTTTAAGGTGAAATCAAAGAGCTTCTTTGATATAAGAAGTATGCGAAGAGCTTAGATATTTAAAGTACATAGAACATATCCTATGTTATAAAATCAATATTAGTAAATTAATATGTATCAACAATTTGCCACGTATATTTTTTGGTATAAAGTATGCAATTGAGTCAAGTTGAGTTTTAAGACTTTATCATCATAGATTTGGACTGTCTTTAATTTTTGGACTTTGTTGGGCCACTTATTGTCACCTCATATGGTGCTAAATATGTATTGATGATGGTAGAATATATAAGCAAATGAATTAAATTTATAGCTTTGTTACAAAGTTCTTTAGCATTGATAGTTATGGCTTTTTTTGATTGTATTTTGGCATATTTTGGAGGTTTTGCTGAAGTCTTAATAAATCAAAGGAGAATTTTTTTTGAGATTTTAATGCTTTTTTTCCTAAAGCTTTAATAGACCATTGTACTACCTTTAGAAATCATCTTGATGTAGATGGCTTAACTGAACGGGTTATTTATACTATTAAGTGTGGTTTACAAAAATATGGATTACTTCATGGAAACCATTATAATTAGAACTTGGTGTTGTCATAGATTCCATTAAATTGCTGCTTTAATAAATATGCATCTTTAGCATTTATAATCCTTATTAGTTATTATATGATTAGAAGTCAATCTTATGAGGCTTAATATATGAAAAGTTAGTTCCAATTGTAGACTTCAAAGACATTGATATTTAGGCTAAATGTCTATATGATCAAAAAAATTCTTTAAAAGGGCTATGCCTATGGCCATGAAAGAGCTTATCTATTGGTCAACAATGTCATACTTAATAATACATTTGGATTTGTAATATAACTTACCAACCTCAGTTTCAAAAAAATTGCAAGGAAGATTATGTATATATGAAAAATGAGACACATCAAGTATTACAATACTTGATGTAAAAATAAGACCCATAATTCTTTGTATCATAGATGTGTTGTCTGGTAGTATTTTGTTACATGAAGGTAATGATGGACATAAGTGTTAAAAACTTTCAACAAATTGTGCTCCTTATCATCTCTTTATTGATGTTTTTGTATATCTGAAACTGATAGTTGTGTTAAATGGACTTTCTTATTTTATATGTAGTGAGAAGAAAGGAGATGCTACCATGGTATTGTGTAATCAATGCTAACATGGGTTGCATATGGCATACTTAATATTATGTCTTCTAATTCTTTTTTTAAGAGATTAAAATTTTCTTCATTATAAGAAGTCTTTTAATAATTTTTAATCTATTGACAAGGCTTGAAGATTCTTTCTTTCATATTTGCCACACATTTTGGTGGTCTACCTGCTATGACATTGATTTAACTATATATAATTTTGCAGTTATATCATTGTAGCATTCATCTAAAACTATGTCTGTGTTGTTATCCAAGCTGAGTAGAAAGGCTCTTAATTAATTACAAGAAGCACTTGAAATGTCTTGATTGTGCATTTTTATTTAGTTTAGATTGTATATTTTATATTTGATTTTTAGCACTTGATTTATTATATATAAAAATCTTTATCCTACAATAAAAAGTAAAAACCTAAATTTTGAGTAATTTTTATATTTATAAAAATAAAACAAAAAAATATCAAATAAAGTTGTAAATTTGATCAAAAATTAATTAATTAGAGATATATATTAATAATTGTATCATAGTAAAATCTAAACAATAAATTATATATTTCTAAATAAACTATTATTTTATAATATTTATAAAGAATGGACCTTAAAAAAATTAAAAATGTATATTTTATTAAAATTTAATCCAATGTAATCAATCAATAAAAATATAATAAAATAAAATAAGTTTAATAATATATATGACTATGCTACATAAAAAATTCACCTTTTAAAATTAATAAATTTAAAAAGAGTATTATGTTTACTAAATTACATTGAAACATATTATTAGTTCAGATTTCATTCTCTTAAAAAGAATCATATGTATGGACTAGTTTTACTGGACTATCTTTATGGTATTAATATTTGGTCACTAAAAAATAAATTATTCATATTTTTAAAAATACCATAGCGCCTTTAAGTTAAAATCATTTGAGATATATCTTCTTCTTCTTTTCTTGATATGTTTTTTAAAAAATACAATACTTCTTATGGGAAACCACTTAAATTCAGTGGGTGCAGAATATACATCTGTAATTAACTACATTTTTGGGTATTTATTTATTTATCTTATTCTTCAATATCTTAAAAATTTTAAAAATGATTTAGAGATACAATGTTTTATTAATTTATATGCAATTAAAAAATATATCATTATAGTTTTACATCTTAAATAAAAATAAAATAAAATGCTGTCACATATTGTAAGAGATTTTTAAAAATTCTATAAATTTAATTTATATTTTACCAATTCATTTAAAATTTTATTATGTATTATTATTTTTTATTAATATTTTAAATTATACATGTTATTATCTTGATTAATTATTAGTCTTTTTATTTTTGTAACACAACAGGGTAGGCTTTGATAGTTTCTATGATGTTCGTTTTTGAACATTGAAGTTTAAGTTTTTCATCTTCGAACTTGAATTTTTTTTTCTCAAACATTAAATATACTTTATTCAAAAAGAACTGAAATATTTCAAATGAATCAGTCAACACTCGTCGAGGGAAGCAAATCCATCGCCCCCCCGTCGACGGAAGAGGAACACTCGTCCAGGCAGTGACGGAGGATGAATCCTCGTCCAGGCGTGGACGGCGGCTTATCCATCGCGGGGCTGCCCTTGGCAGTGGAGGGCATCGAACGCAGCATCAGTTCTAAGAAACTCGTGGCTCCGTGCTCGCAATCAATTTTCATCAACTTGGCTCTCTTTGCTACTGGACCTGTGGACTTGAGGGGAGGTTTGTGCCGCTTGCAGCTCTTGTTTCAGCCACTTGTCCGAAACCGCTGCAACTTTTAGAAACAGATTCTGGACCACTTGAATCGGTCGATGTCATATTGGATGGTAGTTCATCGAAAGATGCAATTTGGTTGACGTCGTGTATAAATTCTGATGGATTTTTGTGGTGTGGGGTTGCAGGCCAGCTGGCTTGTTCCTCGAGTTGGGCTTTCGTGGCATCTTGTGGGATTATTCGTTGTCTGTGCTGTGCGTTGTGCAGCTCTCTTCACTGCGACTTCTGAAGGTCACCGGGACCGTTACACGAATTGGTGAATTGTCTCAGGGGGAGGAGACCTGTGGTTTTGAGGAATTCTTTCGTTCAGTAGTTTCTGGGCGTGGTGGTGGTGGTGGTTGTGTGTATTTGAATGATGGCAATGACAGTGGGTGAGTTTGGGTTGAGCCTGAAGAATGCGGCCGCGCCTGTCGTTGGTGCTGCTGCATGTGAGAAGAGCTCGATTCAGAGTGGGCCAAGCAAAGCTCCTCATTCAGTGCATTTCGGGACCAGGATATCTCCGAGAGTAGATCTCCGAAGCTTGAATTTCTTTGGGAGAGTATTAGGGTTGGGCGTCGAAGCTCCTAGCACATCGTCGAACTCCTTCGTGGTGAGAGCCAGTTCTGCTTCCGCAGAGAAGGCGAAGGCTCGGTATCCGGGCGAAAAGAAGGGATTCGTAGAGGAAATGCGCTTTGTGGCCATGAAATTGCACACCAAAGATCAATCCAAGGAGGGGGAGAAGGAATCGGATGCGCAGCCGATAGGGCAATGGGAGCCCACCATTGAGGGGTATCTGAAATTCCTCGTGGACAGCAAGAGGGTTTACGACACCATGGAGTCTATTGTTCAGAAGGCCTCTCATCCTTCTTGTGAGTGTATTCTCCACACCATTTTCAAGAATTTGTTTGTTTCTTTCTTTTCTTCTTTTTTTTATTTTTTTTTATTTTTTTTTTTTGGGGGGGGGGGGTGTGCTACAGGTACCAACATCTTGAGAGTGAACACCATACGAAAAATTGAAAAATTGATTTAATTTTTCGCCATGGCTGCAGATGAGCTTTTCAGGAATACCGGGCTAGAGCGAGCAGAAAAATTAGCTAAGGACCTTGAGTGGTTCGCAGAGCAAGGGCATGTAATCCCAGAACCTGGAACAGATGGAACCACATACTCCAAGTACCTGACTGAGCTTTCTGAGACGGATGTTCCTTCCTTCATTTGCCACTTCTACAACGTTTACTTTGCCCATTCAGCAGGCGGTAAATTTATCGGAAAGAAGGTGTGTTTATCGAGCCGCATTGAAGTTGGGTGTTTCGGAGAGGATATGCAAAGACATGATTACTTATATATTGGTATAATTTAACGTATTTCGAATCGTTACAAGTTCTTCAGAAGATGTGTGGGGCCATTCGTTCTGAATGACTTATCTGGCTTGTTTCTCAAGATCAAATTGCCAGACCTTCGCCGCAACACAAAAGATCCTCATATTGAAGAATAACCCACTATGTTAAACTTAACCATTCAAGTTTCTTCTTACAACCATGGGTGTAGCTCAGTTAACCAATTCTTTGACCCTAGATCTACCAAAGGGGCCCATTTAGAGAAAGCATGAGCTCGAGAAACTTGCGTGTGCAGGTCGCAGAGATGATTTTGGATGGTAGGGAGTTGGAGTTTTATAAGTGGGATGGAGAGCTCTCTCAGCTCCTGGGAGCAGTTAAGGAAAATCTTAACAAAGTTGCAGAGGTCTGTTAATCCGTGCTTGCTTTGCTTTCTTTCATTTCTAAACTTGTTTGCGGGGAGGTCTGTTTGCCAGACGATGTGCTCATTGTCTATGTTGCTTGTATGGTTCCAGGAATGGACACGAGAAGAGAAGAACAAGTGCCTCAAAGAGACGGAGAATTCTTTCAAATACTCTGGTAAGATCTTGCGTTTGATCGCCACTTCGAAATGAAGACCACCCAAGTACAATTACACGTAGGTCCATATCATTTCAAGTTTCAGTTTACGGTGCGATTTGAAGATACTTCTCTCTGTAATTTCTGGCGTGAGTGGAGAAACCAAACTGAGGTAAACTGCTACGCATTTTAAGTTGCTAGACTTTACATTCGGAGCTTTGTACATGAATATACAAATGTGAAGGGATCAAATTTCATGAAACCATATCTGTGTAAAGGTCTCCATACCACCTATTCTCTTGATTTGTAAAGGCAAAATGACTGCTAGCAAGGTACCACAACTAAGCCAAGATCATGAGCTCAGCGAATTAGGAGCTGACCTGAAATTCTTCCTAGATACTTGTAGTGAACAGCCCGGGTGCGTTCCAGTCCACAGCAGTCATGAAGGCACTGCTGGAATACTTCAGTTACTCATGTAGCTCTCCATTGCCTTGAAATTTTCCCAATGGACCTCAAAGTCATACCCATTTAATAAATACATTCAGTCCGTTGTTATTTATACACTAACATGCAGTCTGTTGTGAACTCATTTACTTTTATAAACATAATTAACTGTAACCTTAGTGAGATTTTTTTCAATTTTAACGAAAGTATATACAAAACAGGAGTTAGGTATTGAAATCAAATTTTAGACTGCAAGTAATACGTGATGCAACAACATATGACAAATTCATCTGAAAAAGTTTGTGATAATCTAAGAATAGATCCAAAAACAAAAACAAAATGAAACAAATATGGAAGAAACTTCTATGTTGGTAATTAATGTAATCATAGTTTTTACAAATATCATCATAAGTTGTTCTAAATTTGCATTGCATACCACAATACGTTTTATAGAACATTAAAATACACAAGATGCTTTCTATTTGCATTGCACACAATGATACATTTAATGGAACATTAAAATACACATCCTTAAAGAATGTGCACTTTATTTATTGTGGTGTGCATCAACAATTTTTTGTAAAATACATTGTAATGTGCAATGCAAATTTAGAATAGCTTATGGTGACATTAGCAAAAACTATGATAATATATGATGGATAGCAAATTGTGGTGACAATAACAAAATTGTGGTGATGTTAGCAACACCCTCTTTTAAGATAGTAGATATTTATTAGTACAAACTTGTGCCAATGGCCCCAAAAAAGGTATAAAAGTTTAATTTGCAAAATAATTTAATCTTAGCTAAACTTGTGCCATTGTTACAAAAACTTGAAAATTTGATTAGTTGCAAGGTATGTGTTGTGCCCAAGTCCCAACCATTATTCTATGCTAGCACAATCAAACGTCATTCTTATGCATAACATCAAGGAATCCTACATCAGCTCCATCAATATGGTATACAAAAAAACAATGTACTCTGGTACACATGTGGCATATATTGTGTATCTTTCCTATAATGTTGTACCAACACTCTCGTAATTATGTTTTATTCCTACTACTTATTCACCTCTATTTTTTGGAGATAGAGGATACAATGCGTTGATTACCAATTGAAATTGTTTGGATAGAACTGATACATGTAAGAATAATAGAGATATATCTTTTTTAGTACCAAATCTATTGAGCTGGTATGTATTATGTGCACATATATTTATATTTGACATCTTTGAATTCAATCTTCTACAATGTTGTAGAATCCATCAAAATTGTTTCATCTACAAATTAGAAGATTTAAAACCCTTATGATATAAAAAAAAAATCTTATGATAAATATAATAAGAGTGACAAAAAGACTAAGGGTAAAGTATGTATATTGAACTTTGTTGCAACATGAAAAACAAGGGCTTTACAACCATAGACTTGTCCTTCAATGAGTCTTTTATAATATATACAACTCTTACATCAACCAAAATTCTTCATAGATTTTATTTTTTTTTACATTGTTAATAGCTAAACTAATACATATATCAAATTTATAAATAAGAAAATCAATGCACAAATTAATAGATCTATTAAGTGATTCAAATAAATTATAATTTTTTAAAATAAATAAATAAATACCATTAAAAATAAGTTTTTTTTATTATCAACATTTGATAAAAAAAATGGTCGCCATCCTTGCACAATGCTTCAATTGCACCTTGTATAAGGTATCTAAGTAGATCCTTGCTATTGACTTGTATTGATCCAACATTATTATTAATATTATTTTCAAACAAAATAATGTTAATTTGTGACAACAAGTCCAAATGGGCCCATATTAGAGACAATAAATTTCTTTATTCTTATGTCATACATTGTAAAAGTTTTTGATGAGGAGATCTTGATATTGTAAGGTTGTATATTTTTTATTATTTCTTAATTAATGTTAGAGATGATGAATTTCTTCATTTCTATACCATATGTCATTTGAATCAAGTAAAAAATCATATAATTTTATTAAAAACATGGACTTTAAAGCTCATGGATTTTAATTCTCTTCATGTTACCTCTCAGAGCTGTACTTAAGTCCCTACAATTATCTTACTACAAAGATACATAACATAAACTAAAAAATAAAACAAATATGCATTTTTTTTGCCGCACTTCTACCTCATGTATTGGACCATGTTTCATTGTCATTTATGTTCTTATTGGAATAGTCGGAGATTGAGATCAGATAAGTACCTTCTAAAATCCAATGCTTATTGCTTCTCATAGCTTATACTTTAGAAACAAGATGTTGTGACTTAATTCATTAGACCTTTTTTTAAATTATTCACACACAAGTTTTCTTTGACTAGAGCTCTTGCATGCTTTTCCTCTTGGAAACATTTGTCATAGACATATTGTAATAGACATACATATTTATTCTAGTAATTACCTATATGATTACGTAGAAGTATATAAAAATAAATAAAAGTAGATTAATTTCATAATATCTTTTAGAGAAGCTTCTTAGAAGCTTTATAGATACCGTTTTGACTTCACTCATATTTATAGTTGACTTTTAGATTAAAAACTTGGTCAATAAATTAGCCATGTATCACACATGTGGATAACTTATGGAATAAACTAATTATGTAGTACATATATAGAAAACTAGTCTTGCAAGTTAAGACATGTGGCTTGCAAAATCAACACATGTTTGAGGTCTTATAGAACATTGTCACATACCTCATAGGTGGATAATATATATAAAAGCAAAAATGAAAATTTTTTTACTCTTGTCAATTCTTTTTTTGCTATGGTTTAGATTTAAAAGTCTTTAGATTTTTGACTTTTCATAATAGCCATTCTAATTTCTTTTTAATATATATATATTTTTTTAATTTTATTTTGTCATACTTCTTTGAGAAAAGTCTCACTTAGTTATTTACTTTCATCACATTTTTTTCTTTGATAGATTAACAAGAATCCAGTAACAATATAAAAGCTTTGACTTTTCTTGATTAAAAGTGAATTATTCCTTTCTCTTCATAAGACATAAGTATATTAGAAGTTGTGGATTACTCTGTTCTAAATTGATGTTTTCTTTATTATTTTCTTTGTTCTTAATTCCTCTCTTCTATTTGTCTTGAATAATATTAGATATTTTTATTTCTCAAAGAATTATTATAGTAGAGCTTCTTAAAATGAAGAGTGAAATGGTACAAATATAAGAGCAATTGAGGAAATTAATCCTTACAATGCATCAATTCAATTTACCACCACAAAAAGTAAGAAGAATGGTAGGGAGCAAAGATATAGAGATGATTGGAGCTACTTCAATATCTGCAGCAAATCGTGTCTCTTCTCCTATGGTAGAATATCCATCTAGTATTAAAAAACCAAAGATTGCATTGCTAAAGAAGTTTGATGGCTCAAGATCCAAGTTTTGAGGATTTATCAATCAAGTAAAACTTATGATTGAAGTTCAATGTCAAAGCTATCCAACTCTAAGATTGCAAGTTAGATTCATTGATACACTTCTTTCAAGGTCAATATTATCATGGTTTTTCATCTTTTTTTAAACAATAAGATCTAATATTAGATAACCTAGAGGCTCTTTTGAAAGAATTTTGACCTATGTATAGAAAATATGATGTAATTTGTATTACAATCAATAAGATCTATATTTTGCGACAAAATAATCAATTAGTATTGTTATATGCTTCATAGTTTTGACAACTTGTAATTGATATCAAGTGAAATGATGTTGCACTTGTTAGCCAATTTTTTTATGGATTATAATATGAGGTAAAAAAATTGATGCTCAAATTACTTAAAACTTATTTGAACTTACTTGATCCTCAAATATTGAATCAAGCAATTGATTTTATTGTAAAGAGTGACAATTGATTTTTTGCATTTTAATCCAAAAGCCATACAAGTGCACGGCAATATTACTATAATTCAATGGCAATATCAACTTCTTTTCAATATGTACATTGAAAAGTAGGAGATATATAAATTGATACAATATATTTTAAATTTCTTATTAAATAAGTAAGGACTCACTGTTGTTAAGAAGGATTGTACTTGTATTCTAGAAAACCTAAACACACTACTTAATATTATTTAAAAAAATAATACAACCACAAAATAAAAAATACATCTACTAAAAAAGATAATATGTTGGATAACAAGTTTGTCTAACTACAATAGGGATCATGTGGCTAGAACCTTATAGAACCTCTAGTATAAGTCTTATTTGTAACAAGGAATAAATAAGATATTTGTATTATTGATACATAAAGATAGATAGTTGGAATCAAGATTGAAAAGTTATGGAAGTTTTTAAAATTGAGGCTAAGTTAGTCGACCATATAGGATCCATTGTGGTATATTCTAAAAAGACCCTAGGATGTTTATCTAAATAGAGCCTACCATGAAACCTTCTAAAAAAGGCTTGGGACAGTTATTTAGGTAGGGCCTATCATAGAACCTTCTAAAAAGAATTTAAGGCGGTTATTTAAGTAGGATCCAATATCTAGGAACATTCTAAAAAATCCAAGGTAATAAAATAGATATAAATAGGACTGGCTAGGATCTTTTGAGGCATCTATTTAGATATAATTTTGAACCTTCTCTCTTAGAAAAGTTTGGTTTTGCATCTTCTTGTTTAATTTTATTTTTTTTTGTTTTTATTTGCATATTTTGTCTTTCATATCTTATTCTGTTTAATTATGTTCAAATTTTTTATAGTTCATTTTATCTTACTTTATGATGAGGTTTTATATGATTATAAATTAGAAGAATCTTAGACTTTCAAAATAGATTGATCATGTTTCACTTAGACTTTCAAGGTATATTAGTCTTTTTTTACAATTCTTTTTTCAAAATCCTCTCTTTGTTTTACAATAAATGTTATTTTAGGACCTAAATATCATAAAGCCTCTATCTTATTAAATTCAAGAATCTCATTGTATTTCTTAAATAAAGGATTTACTAAAAGATATAGCATACTTTTAGAGAAGAAAATTAAACCTATTCACGTAAAAGTCATAGATAGTCATCCATTATCTTCAAGAGATGTTATTTATGAAATCTTTCTTATAGAAGTAATAACTAATAGTGATAAATAGCTTTATA